TATATATATATATATATATATATATATATTCAATGTCAACCTTTTATTTCCTTCGTCATTCGTCCCAATTTTCGTTCCGTTTATGTGCTTAGCGTCTAAGTTGGTTGTGGAATTCGTAATGATTATTTTAGTATATTTAAATTGGATAAGGTACCATTTATAGCAACGTACTTTTTGTGGTTTGAACCGAAAAACCATAAACCCACGAACCTACCGTTTTAAAACTGAAAACCCATAAACCCACCCACAAGCCCATGCATCGTTTTAAAACTGAAAACCCATAAACCCACCCACAAGCCCATGCATCGTTTTAAAACTGAAAACCCATAAACCCGAACTGAAAAACCGAAAAAACGTTCCATGCCAAAACCGAACCCATACAGGTTTAAAAACCAAAAAAGCTGACTTTATACGGTTTGGTTCGGTTTTAACAAAATAACCCATTAAAATTGACCCATGTTCAGCCCTAGGAAATTTTCATCTATCACTCCCTCAAAATATACAACAACGAGATGTTGCACTCTACAATAATATGAAATATGGAAAAAAAAGGTACAATGCTTTCTTCTTCCGTAGGGGACTTCCACTAGAGGGATGGTGTTCACTGCAACATCACTGCGGTGCCAGGCATAGCCGGTGGTATGGGGGGGGGGGCAACAGCCTGGTTTTTTAAGGGGCCCATTTTTTTTAATATATTCAATTGCAGCCCATTTTTTTATGTCTTAGCCCAAATCTTTTTTTAGTCCACAAACTAGATAGCAGGTGGGTAGTAAAGGCTTCATCGTTTATTCATCAATTGACAGTTATTATTGATTAATTGATTATTAGCGGCTTAGGCGCTTTTCGCATCCGTGACTATCAATTCGCTGCGGCAGAAGAGAAGGAGAAGCATTGAAGATTGATAATTCATAAGTTCATATAAGGTAATTGTCTAATTGATTATTCACTTATTCAGATAATCAGATTAATAGTTTTATTAGTTTATAATTGAATGATGATTGATGAGCAATTGAACTTGAATCATTATAGAATAATTGAAGTTAAACTTGAATCATAATCAGAATTCACTAATTCAATTAAGATTGAATGTTGTTTATGTGATTATTGATTGAATTTTGAAATTAAGTTGAAATCAAAAATCTGATTATATGATTGAATGTTGAAATTCTGTTGAATGTTGAAACTGTGATTATTATGATATTATCTAAAATCTGAAATTGTTTATTTGATTGAATGTTGAAATTTTGTTGAAATTTATCAGATGCTGAAATCAAATTATCAGATTATGTTTTTTATATTTAGTTGAATATTGAAAGTTGAAAGTAATGAACTTGTAGTGATGAAGTCTAAACAACCATCCGGTAGTAAAAAACGTAAAAGGATAAAACTAGAAGAAGAAAAGAGAAAGGCTGATGTTGGTGCTCTAGATAAGTTTATTCATAGACAACCTGTTGAAGAGTCTGTTGAAGAGCATGTTGAACACCAAGAAAATGTAGAAGTGGAAGTAGAAGAGGCAGAAGAGCAAGAGCCCGTTAAAGAGCTTGTTGATATATGTGATCCAAGAAGGTGGGAAAAACTTAATTATGAAGAACTTAAACTTTTGGTTGAGAAAGGTCCTAAAAGAGATACTAGTATTATGTATGGTCCCTACGATAAATCTGGTAGACGATTTTCTGCAGCTTTATATACAAAAACTTTACCAAATTTGGAGAAGTGTGATAGAGAATGGCTAGTATATTCGAAAGAGCTCGGCAAAGTATTTTGTTTTTGTTGTAAAGTGTTTAGAAAACGGATTTCTAAAGGTAAATTAGGTGACGAAGGTTATTCAGATTGGCACCATGTTACCAGTAGAGTTAAAGAACACAAAATTTCCTTGGATCATCTCACAAATAGGAATAAGTGGTTTGATATGCGTAAAAGATTGAACTTGAATGAAACAATTGATAAAGTTCAATACGAGCAATTCAAGAAAGAAAAAGATTACTGGAAACAAGTCCTTTTGTGAATCATTGCAGTAGTGAAGTTTCTTGCTAAACATAATTTAGCATTCCGTGGATCAAATGAAAAGTTGT